ATCATAGAGCCTGTGGCATGGGGTTGCTGTGAAGATGAAGCAGGATGTTGGGAAGGTACCTGGCCCACGGTGACAGGAGCGGCTATTGTTGCTATTACTACTCCCTCCTCCCCACCTGTCCTCAGGAAGGCAGGCAGGTGGGGGCTCAGGCCTGTCCCCGTGTCCACCAGAATCCTGCGAGCAGAACTGCTGAACCAGCAAAGCAAACATGTCGGCCCAGTGCCGGCCGGAGGGAGCAGGGAGAAGGCGTGCTTGCCCAGGGCTGGGCTGGGATCCCCGAGGGGGCGGCCCAGGGTGGAGTCGCTCCCAGACGCTGGCGCCATCTTGGTTTTCCTTGGCTTTTCCTCCGCAGTTGGGAGTGGCCCTTGCCCTCCCCCGGGAGCAGGTGGCCTTTGCAGCCTGGCACCTGTTCCCGAGGGCGGCTGCCAGGAAGGTGCAAACCGGGGATCGCCCCGTGTGTCCTCCGAGTCCTCGCATGAGGCCTGCTCGCTCCCTGGAGGGGCTCGGCTGGGCCTGTCCTGGTGGAGGAGGTCACAGAGGGGCTTGTCCCTCGCCCCAGAGCCCCCTCCTCACCCTCCAGGTGAGTCACAGAGAGCCGGGACCATCCTGAGCTCTGTGTGCTGGGGCCTTGTTTGTGGGGGGGGTGGGGAGGAGGACATGGGGTAAAAGGTGGGGGTGAAACAGGAGAGGGTACAGGTGAAGCGGCTTATTTTTGTCCCCACGGGGCAGCAAGCAAGCCGAGTGGATGTAACATTTTCATTTTATTGAAGGAGGAAGGAAATAGACATTTACCGAGCACCCACGACGTGTGAGCTGCTGTGCTGTGACTTCCCGTGGGACTGAAAGACACAGCCGGGCACAGGTTCAGGCCCCGCTGTCCCCGTCAGGGAATGTGCTCAGAGAGGTTAAGAAACTCACCCGTGTTCTCCCAGGTGGTTCAAGGAGAGCCGGGGCGTGAGTGCAGGTTGGCTGATAGGACTCTGAAACGCCTGCTGCTGGGAAAACAGACCCAGATTTTAAACTGGCTTTGAAGTTAAATAAAAGGGAAAATATGACCAATCATTTAACGAAGGTAACAGCACCTGATTCAGTATTTACTGTATCTGCTCCTGGTGCCTTTTCCCTTTGGCGACCGTGAATGTTTCTATTTGTGCATTTTACATAATTGTAACCATAAGAGGATGAGGCTGCGCTGGAGGCCCAGGCCGAGGTGGGAGGGTCTCCTGCGCCGGGGCCACTGGGGAGTGATTGATACTCAGCAAAATGGAAACCTGGTTTTGGCCTCGAGCCATGTGTTCGGTAATGAGGCTCCCGGAGAAAGCAAATTGGGTGAATGGGGAGGCGAAAAAGACCCCGGCAGGCCCTCCTGGGTTGGCTTTGCCCCGTTAAGTGGTAGAATTTTCCTTTTAACTCACTTCCTTCTTGCTTTTTGACAAATGGGAATATTTGTACCATTTTCCCAAATGACCTCCTCTCCTTGGGGTAATGAGAAAATGAAAGTCTTTGCTAAGTGCTTTGCGATATTCAGATATAAAGCAGGAGAGCAGAGCAGAGCGTCGTCACGGGCCTTTTGCTGCCAGGGCTGAGCTCTCTAAAGAGGAAGTGCAGCTCGCGGGGGTGAAGGTCAGCGCGAGGGTGAAGGCCATTGCTGGAACCGGCCCGTCTCTGGGCACCGGGGCAGGGGCGTGCGTGGCCCGCTGCGAGGCGGGCAGGTTTTGGTGGGGCCTCGGCCTGTCCTCCAGGGCCAAGGCGATCTGGCTCGCTCAGGCAGAGCCCCCACCCACCCTGGCTGGCATCACGTGGCGAACGACTCAGTTCGCGGAGAGGTCTCCCCAGGCCCCCTTCTCCCTCTCCCGCTCATAGCACCAGCCCAAGAATAACACGGCCGAAGACATACTGTGCCACCTCTGCGAGTAATAAGCCCGAAGATGATTTCGAAACGTGGAAAAATGTTTATATTATGCGAGTGGGGGAAAAATATACCCACCGAAGGCCAAGTGCTGTGAACGCCGTGATAGAAACTATATAAAAATCGCGAATGCGTATGGACCAAGCTGGAGAGGTAATCCTCCAAAGTGAAAAATTACAGCGTTCGTGTGCCGGTACTACGGTGATTTGTTCTTTATTTCCTAACATTTTCTTTAAATTCTCCCCTATGATTAAGAACCAACAAAGCCAAGGTGTCGGCCCAGCAGGGAGCCCTGGGGAGGGGGAGGGGAGGGGAGGGGGCGGGGCGGGCGAGAGGACGCTGGGATGCTGGCACCACGGCCCCCGCAGGGTGCTGAGCTCACCGGCTGTGCCAGCCACAGAAACCTATGAGATCTCCGGGAGCCCAGGCATATCGGTGACTCAGACCTTCGTGTTGTGCTGTTCAACAATAGCTTTTGTCCTTTGCCCAAAACCCTAGGCCAGCGTGTTAAAAAAAAAAAAAAAAAAAAGTATAAAATTAAGAGATAGTTTGTACTTTCCTTACCAGCCTGTGCCAGCTTCGGGCGCTTTATTTATTCAAGGTGGGGAGGCAGGGAAGGTGGGGTGGGGGTGGGGGGCAGACAGAAAGGCAAAGGAAAACAAGGTAGAACTCGGACAAGGCCCAAGAAACGTTTGGACCTCAACAACAAACTTTCTTTTGTTTCTCCCGTGGGGAGAAGAGCAGGAGGAAAAATCGCAGCGGGCCCGTCTGAACCAGAGTAAGCGCCTCGCGTTTTGTGCGTGGGGTTGGTTGCGCCTTGCAGTGGGTTTTGCCTTTTGTTTGTGGAACGTGGCAGCTATTTCGTGGTGTTTGCCTCTGGGCCAGAACGAGACGGGGTAGAAAGGGCTGGAGCCAGGACAGCTCGGCTGGGCTCTGGTGAGCGTGGATGTTCGCTTGGCTGTTCTGGCCGAGAATGCCCAACTGCCAGCAGCGGCTGCCCTCGCCCCCAGTTGGGCTTAAAGAAGGTCCCTACCTCCTGGAGTCCCAGAAGTGGCTCTAGTGGGACTCGGAATAGCTTGTGGCCGGGGGTGAGGATGAGCTTGCCTCGTCCTAGTTTGGGCCAGAACATTCTTCCTCGTGTCCACTGGACGACATTTTAAGAATAAGATTCAGGAACAAAGACCTTGGGAGGGGAGAGTTGGGAATGGGAATGTGTGTGTGATTGTGTGAATGTGAAAGTGTATGAGGGATTGTGTGCAGCTGTGTGTGAGACTGTGAGACTGGTGTGTGACTCTGTGAGTGACTGTGTGTGAGAGACTGAGTGGTTGTATATGTGATTGTGTGTGGTTGTATGTGAGATCGAGTGATTGTGTGTGACTGTGAGGTTGTGTGAATGATTGTGTGACTGAGATTGTGAATGAATGTGTGTGGCTGAGTGATTGGGTGTATAACATGGAGTGATTGTGGTTGTATGTGAGGTTGAGTGGTTGTGTGGCTGTGAGATTGTGTGAATGATTGTGTGACTGTGAGATTGTGAATGGTTGTGTGTGACTCTAAGTGACTGTGTGTATATCATGGAGTGATTGTGTGTGGTTGTTTGTGAGGTTGAGTGGTTGTGTGGCTGTGAGATTGTGTGAATGATTGTGTGACTGTGAGATTGTGAATGGTTGTGTGTGGCTGTGAGTGATTGGGTGTATAACATAGAGTGATTATGTGTGGTCGTATGTGAGGTTGAGTGGTTGCATGGCTGTGAGATTGTGTGAATGATTGTGAGATTGTGAATGGTTGTTTGTGACTCTGTGAGTGACTGTGTGTATATCATGGAGTGATTTTGTGTGGTTGTTTGTGAGTTTGAGTGGTTGTGAGATTGTGTGAATGGTTGTGTGACTGTGAGATTGTGAATGGTTGTGTGTGGCTGTGAGTGACTGGTATGTATCATGGAGTGATTGTATATGAGATTATGGGTGAGATTGTGTGAATGATGGTGTGACTGTGTGAGATTGTGAGAATGATTGTGTGTGACTGTGAGCGGTTGTATGTGTGAGACTGAGCTGCTGATGGTGTATGTGGTTGTGTGTGCACATGTCTCCCTTTAGTCTTAGTCACTCTTTTTTCTGGTTGTACTAGCCCGGCTGAGTAAAACCCAGGGGACTTGCATCATTTTTGTCCTGCCTCCCCTTGTCCCCTTTCCCAAACCAGCTCTCCCAGTGAACCCTGAGGCAGCGTGGACCCTGGGCTGGTCCAGCATTCTTTCTTCAAAATTGGTTCGAAGGATTTTGTAGGAATAATCCAGGGTCTTGGTAGAGGTTTGATCAGTAAGAGAAAGGAGGCTTGTGAGTTAGAGATAAAGAAAGTCACAGAGGTCTGGGGTGGCCTGGCCTCACCCTCAGACGCCCACGTCTGTGGCCTCGATGGAACCCCTTATTCTGGTGCTCCCCTATGCCCCTTGCGAGGCCTTCCCGCGGTCGGATTCCTTGTCGAGCTTCCCAGCCCCGTGGGCTTTCATTGCCTTCTTGATCTTTCATCATCGTGACCATTCACTCCTGAGAAGGCAGCACAGAGACTGTTGTGCCTGTTTTCCAGGTGGAGAAAAGGCCCAGAGAGGGGAGGTCACTTGCCCAAGAACACACAGCTAGTCAGTGACAGATTTGGAACCAGGACAGTCTTGGGGCCACTTGCAAACAGAGCCATCTCCCCCCGATGGCTCAGGGCTAGGATGACCAGCCCGAGACAGGGAATTCTGCCCTCCCTCGCTTCCTGGAGACAAAGGGACCCTCCCGGAGGATCAGCTGCTTTGTGGCTGTGGTCAGGGGTGACTGGCCCTCTGGTGTTAGGGTCTGTCTCTGTTGAGGAAAGAGCACCCATCTCTGCCTCCCACAAGCAGCCTCTTCCCAAGACCTCAGCTTTGCTGTCTGTGGAGTAAGAGGCTGGCCCCGGGGTTCCTCATCCCTTCCCACTTCAGGATGGCTGCCTTCCTGCCATGATCCAGAGTCCCCAGCTGTGCCATGCAGCCAGCCCTCTCCCACAACCTGCCAAACCAGAGATGCCAGTTTCCCAGGGTGCCCATGAGCTCCCTGCCAGGGAGCCTTAGCAGGCTGGCAGAGCAGGGCCCCGGCCCAGACCCCCTGCACCTGCTCGGTGATACCTATGTGTCTGCATGTGCCCTTGTCAGAGCCCTCTGGCCTGGACCCCCCGAGTTCTGAGGCTGAGACGCGAGGAGATTCCGAGCCGGGGAGAGAAGTGGTACCTATGACAAGAGGCAGCCGTGGAGAAAGGGTAGGCGCGGTGCCCGGGGTGAGTGCCATCTGGGCAGGAGGCCTGGCTTCCAGCTGTGGGGGCTCTGGGAGGGCAGAGCTGGCAGGAATGATTTTGAAGCCACTACTATGGAGATTAAGGGGATGAGAATGTAAATCTCAAGTAAAAAGGTAATTGAATGTAATAGCAAACACTGCTCGCTCTATGTTAATTTTAGCTCTTCCCCTGGATACAAGGCGCTGTATTAGTGTTTTATTACCATTTTGTTTGCACTAATAAAATAGTAAAATTTATTTCAAGGAAGTTGAAGGATGGTTTTACAATGCAAATTTGAAGAAATTGGACTTTTCATTTATGCCTCTGCTATTTTAAACCCTGACGGGTGTAAATTAGCTACAGGGACGGAGCAGACCCCACTGGTGGGGACTTGGGAGGCGGGCGCCCGGCAGAGGTTCCCGACTAGCTCAGGGCAGAGGCCGAGAAGGCTCCACGGAGAGGCTGGGGGCACACGGAGCCGGAGCGGGTGGGGTGGGGTGATGAGTGAGGACGTGTCAGGCACGTCACACACGGAGCCTGCGGCGGGACGTATGTGGCCACAGACCTCAGGGCTGTGTCTTTCCCCTCTGCCCTTTGGCCTCCTCCCTGTCCTGACATCGAGCCTCGATAAACTGGCTGAAACCTCATGGGGAACTGAGCAGCCTCTCTCCTCTGAGCTTACCGAGAAGGGGTTGTTAGGAGGGGTCGACCAGATGTACTGTCCACGGACACCCCTTTTAAAGGGGCTGTAGTTTGAGGGCAGTGGTAGCAGCCTAGAGGGAAGACCCTGAGCCCAAAAGGGGCCCAGGAAAAAGGCCCCTGCCGGACACCAGCCCCCAGAGCCAGGTATGCTGGCCTTCCTCGTTCTGCCCTCTGACCAGGCCGCACTCGAGAAACTCGAGGCAGGACATTTCCTTCAAGCTGGCCCAGTGGTCCCAGGCATGGCAGTGCCCGTGGATATAAAGGCTAGGGGACAGATGTCTTACGTTCCCAGTGGTCCGAATCTTAGGGAACTGGGTGATGGCACAGGAAGGTGGAGAAGGGACAGAAAGGGGTGATGGGAGAGCTTCATTTTGAGTTTTGGGAGAAGAATTCAGGTTGGTTCTTGTTTGATCCAAACCGGTTTGTTTATCTCTGAAAAATTATCAGCAGCAAATGGCCCAAAGCGATGCGTTGGGGGACCCGCTTCCAGGGGTAGGGACCAAACAAGTGTTCCAATGTCTGGCGAGGTCAGGAGCGTGTACTGCCCAGGGTTCTCTGGCCGCCTGCCTGGTGCGGGGGACACGGGGAGCCGGTGACACCAGTTTCCAGCCCCAACCCTCGATCTTGTGGGGTTTTTTTTCTCATGCATTGTCTCTCCCTCGTTTGGGAGTGTTGTGTGTGTGTGTGTGTGTGTGTGTGTTTTTACTGTAAAGATCCAAACTGCTGATACTGGCAAGGCCAGAGTTGAGAAACTGGAGGAGAGATTCTGGGCAAGAAACTGGAGCAGAAATGGTGGCAGGACACACCCGAGGCGCCCCTTGTCCACGGACGGACGGACGGACGGAGCGAGCTCCGGGGTAGCTCTGTGCTGTGGGCGCGAGGGGACTGGGCCCCGAGGCAGAGGAGGGTGGCACAGGCCCGCAGCCTCTCCTGGGGACTCCTCTAGTGTCCACGGGGTCCTATTGGGAACAGTTTGATGGTGGGAAATATACAAGGACCAGGTCGGGCTCCAGCTGCGGGGCCAGCGCCCGTGTGGCTGTTGTTCTCCATCGGGGCCTCTGGGCTTCCTTTTGGGTCAAGGGCTGTGGATGGGATTTCTTGGGACCGGGGCTTTTAGGGAACGTACAGAAGGCCAGGGACCCTAAGCCCAGCCCCGAAACAGGCCAGGAAGCCCCTTCCCCCGGCTGGGTACCCAGGAGGCCCCGCTGGCTCCAGGCCCCTAGCAGAGGGGGCCGAGAGGGAGGACTTGAGCTGGTGGACGCGGTCAAGGCCAGGGCAGCTTCGCGAGAAGAGCGTCTCTTAGCGTTTGAGATAGTTTTCAGCTCTGCGAGCGGGGAGACGCCCTGCCGTGTGCCCGGACCTGGAGAGCGGTGGCGGCAGGGGGCTCACGCTCCGGGTGCATTTCAATCCAAAACGGTAATTAGATCAAGGAGCAGCCGGAAATGGAAGAGGATCAGGCCTGGCCGTGGAGGGGGCACCTGGACCGCCTCTTGGGCTCTGCCTCTGTGCTGGGTCACAGCCGAGGTGGTCCGCCGCCCAGCGGCCAGGACGCCAGGCACCTCTTTTCCACTTGTCCACTCTTAACGCCCCAGGTCACCTCTGGAGAGTTGAGGCTCCTTTGAGAAGCCCCAGCCATTGTCACATGTCAGCCAGCCTGGGACAGAAGGATGCTCCATTGTGATTGGTTTGACTTCCTTTTTGGCATGGGGGAGAGGTGTGTGTCGGGGAGAGGGTGGCCCTAAAGGACACCAGTGCGTTGCTCTCCTAGGTGGCCGCAGTGAGCCCTGGAAGCCGGCCCCCACCTGCTGCTTTGTCCTGTTTGACTCGGGGGGGGGGGGGCTGGTCCACGGCACCTCCCCATTTTCCCCTTTAATTGGGAGAGAAGGCGGCCAGAACGCCTAGGTCTTTAGCCTGCAAGCCTCGGCTTCCTCTAATCCTGCTCAGCCTCCTGGGGTGTGATGGGGGCGTGATGGGGGCATCCCCAAGTATCCCGAGCCCCCTGCTCAGCTACCTCTCCCTTCTCCCTGCCCCCCCTTCCCTGCACCTGTCAGCTGTTTCATTGACTGTCTGGCTTGGCTGCCACCCATCCTCTCCTCCCAGGCCAGCGCCTCCCGCCCCTCCCCCCAGGCCCACACGCCCTCCCTTCCTGTCTCTGCCCACGTCTGCCTCTACCTGCCCGTCGCCGGCACACCTGAGGATCCGAGCTGCCTAACGGAGCTCGGGGCTGGCTCAGGGTGTTTACCAGACAGCGGGATAAGGTAGTAAATCCTGCTGCTGTCTTCCCAGGGCCAGCTTCCTCAGATGGGCTTCCAAGCTCCTAATCTCGGTGCCCACATCCCTGCCCAGCCCATGTTTGATGGGAGCTTTCCTTTCCGATTGAAGCTCAGACCGAGCAGGATCTGTCGTGGGCTGGGGTCTGGGTTCCCACCGGTGCGCGATGACACGGAGGCCCGGTCCCTTCCTCTCTGGCTCTTCCTTCCTCTCCGCCTTCCTCTCTTGGGGAATCTCAGTGAGTGGGGGCCAGGATTCTGCCACCAGGTGTTCCAGGGCCTTCTTGGGGGCCCCCACCCCCTGCCGCCAGCGAGGCGATGAGGCCACGTGCTGTGATGGAGGGGCGGGGGCCGAGCTTGGTCTTGGTGTCAGAGGCCAAGGGCGCCCCGCTTGAAGGTGGTCTGAGGTGGGAATGAGCAGGTGAACGACAGCGCTTCCCACCATCCCCGTGCTCCCCGCTCAGAACAGAGCGGCCCCCGTGGGGCTCTGCTCGGGGTGCCGGGAACCCGGCTTGTCCCAGGAGAGTCCCTAAGGCAAACCTGCTCACCCTCGGGACCTGGGCATTGGCTTTGGAGACGCCAGCGCTAGGGAGGCGAGCTCCCCTCTGGGACTCCGGTGGCCACCTGCCGGCTTTAAGATGGGCCGGCCTCTGGGGTGACAGGAGGGCTTGGGTGCTCCCCAAGTGAGTAGGGACGTTGAGGCTCCCAGTGGGACACACTCTTGATATGGGAAAGAGGCCGGTGTCTGGGTTTCCCTTCTGTAGGACACTGGGGCTTGCCTACCCTCCCAGGGACAGCAGGACTGAACCAGAGCAGGGAAGTCTGTACCCATCCTCAGCCTTGTCTCCCAGAAATGTGGCTAAACGAGCTTACCCCCCCCGCCCCCCCAGTGCATTGGGAACTTTCCTTGAAGGAGAAGGACTCTTCACCTTGGTGGCCGCGTGGCCACCGTTGGTGGCTTGGGTAACCATGGTGGGCGTGTCTTTTCTCCTAGTTGCCACGTGAGCTGGACAGACACTCCTAATGTCAGCTTCCCTTTCCCTGGCCGCGGGGTCCCTCTGCCTTCTTTCTCCCGCACCCCTTCTCTTCTCCTCCTTCCTCCAGGCAGCCAGAGGTCTCTTGGGTTTCACAACACCAGAGCTTCCCTCTCTCCGGGTCTCCAAGCCTCCATCCTGCTCGGCTCCCCTGTCCCATGTCTCCACCCTCTCCGTTGCCGTGGCAATCAGCGCTGCCCGGGGCTTGCCTGTGTCCCCTCCTGGGCTCAGGGCACTCACAGAGCGCAGGCCTCTCTGGGACCCAGCAGAGGGGGGCTTGGAAGGGCTGGGGACAGGGCAAAAGGTGCAGCCGCACACTTCACCCTGACCCTCCAGGCTGCTGTAGCCACAAAGGCCTGGACGCCCGCTTTTATTTGGGGTATCCTTTTCCAATATGCATTGCGCAAGGATTGAGAGGCGAGAGGGGGAAAGAGGGCAGTGAAAACCTGGAAGATGGCAGTTGGGCTGGTGAGGAGGAGGAGGAGGAGGAGGAGGAGGAGGAGGAGGAGGGAAGAGGTGAAATTAATTCATTAGAAAAACCTGTTTACTGGCTCGGCTTAGGCGCCTCCATTTTAAAAGTCTACGTTTACAATAAGTCGCTAATTAAAACACAAAATTAAGCAACAGCTATGTTTTTTTTTCCCCTTACACTTTAATTGCATGATTTTTTGTGATGTAATTTCTGGAAACACCCAGCGCACCTCACAGGGCTGATTGTTTGATAAACTAGAAGCACCTGAAACCAACCCCAAAAATAAATATATAAGTCCAAGGGGAACGGCAGGTAGGTTGGAAATGGCGGAGAACTGCAGACAGCGGGGGACCAAACATCCATAGTAAGAAAAATACAAATATCTTCTAAGCAAGGACCTTTCTCCTAACCCCCCCCCCCCCCCCCCCAAACCAGAACAGTCTGTGCACCTTGGGGGAGGAGGGAGCTGAAATGGAAACCAGACCAAGTGGGGTAATGGCTCCCTGTCTCCGACATCCCGGTTGG